GTCCGTTATATTGAGACATATTTTTGGCATAGAAAGTGATCGAATTGGAGAATGATGTCTGAATCAAAGTTGTAGCCAGATGGGTTAGCTTTCCAACGCATTTTGAATCGCCTCAATCGAATATCAGAATACAAAGTTATGATAAAAACACTCAAAAAAGGTGCAGCCGCCTGTTTAAAATAAGAAATTCCGTTACATAATCCGTTAAAACAACAAATTCCGTTAGTTTTTCCGTTAAACCAACAAATTCCGTTAAATAGGCACTTTTAATATATATATAGAAAGATTTGGGACTCAATTGTGCTTTTCAAAAAGTTGGGACTATGTTTGTAATTAGTTTTTTTTTTTCTTTTTCCTTTTGTTTTATTTAAAGTGAAGGGTATTTTCATCATTTCATAATTTTTAGCCCCTGTTTGGCCCCCATTATTTGGGATTTTAAGGGGGTTGAAAATTTTTAGAATAGTGATTGATGGGAGATGTGTGGTTTAAAAGTTTTAGATTTGTGTGTATTATTATTTTATTTGATGAATGGATGGTTGAGATGAAGAGAGAGAAAAAATTAATGTAATGGAATGAAATTTGATGGGGGGCAAACAAGGGCTTAATTGAGAAAATGGATAAAAATGACATGTTGCGCAATGAAATGTGAAAATAAGGATGAAAATGCCAAAAAATGAAAGGTAAGGACGTTTTCCACAATAACAGTGAAATGTGTGGACGTTATGTGCTAATTACCCCATTTTTTTAATATTAGAAGTTTCTTTCATTTAGATTGGGCGGTAAGCTTGTTAATGGGTTGTGGCAAAATCTTGTGTAATCCATCATACTAAACATGTTTGGTATGGTCTACCGGATATTATTGATAGTATCAAGTAGAAATTAAGAGTAATTTGATGTAGAATACCAAAACATGCCTTGCAACGCCCATGAAGAAATCAATACATCCTACCAACAACAAGAGATTATTCCCAAAGGGTAAGTACATATGTACAACAAGATAAATGATTTTCTAAGTACCGATCACATGCCATATCAATTAATTGGTTGATAAGTTCATGATAGGTCATGTCATTGATGCTTAAATTTAAGCATAAGTTAAGCACCGATTCTTAGAAAAACACTAGACACTAAAACGGGTAGACATAAGCTATTCGAGGTGAAAGGCACACAAATCTTTCCTTGCTACTATTAAGATTGTCATCAAGGAAGCCGATATGCGCACATTAGTACATATACATGTATTGGCAGTTTCATTAGAAAAAGCCTATGTCCTTTATTCTGCTAGCACTTAAAGTATAATATCCAAAGATTAGTTTTTCTTTAACATTTCCCTTGAAATATTCGCTCAGTCCAGGATACCTCATAAAGTTAGAAACTCTTTATATCTGCAAATTTCCAGGAAAAGAAAATTGAAGATATTAAGGGCAATTCAAAGTAACCAAAATGCTGAATAATATTATGAATTTGATCATTGTTAATAGCAACACTTGGAAGAGAAATAAGTTCTTCTTCAAAGGCAACATTCCTAATGGCCTTATCACCCCATTTCAAGTTCAACATC